GCCTTAAACACTAATAAAAGATTAATCAGAACGCTGAATCAATTTGTCATTTACACAAGAGTTTAGAGTTGCAAAATATTTTGTCTCCCTATTAGATGGGATTAGTAATGATCGTATAGCTTTTTACACACGAAACTGCCAAATTATTCAATATTATATGAGATGTATTCATCTAATTTTGTTTAGGGTGATAAGGCTACACTATAACCAAGACAACTATATCGCTGCAAGTTAATATAATTAGATTTTTCAAAATTTGTATTTCTCATAATGTTGTTCCTATGTGTTGTCTACTTGGCAGACGTTTTAATCTACCGACATTCACCAATAGGGAACATGATCAGGTATCGTGTCGTTTGGTTGAAACTAGGCTGTAGGAAAGCATTAACAGATTACACTAACTAATTAGAACCAATACTGAGCGTCGGCAATTCCTTTCTGAAATTTTGAAGAAGTTGGATTTCCTTAAGTTACAAGACATGGCTGACGGATTAGGAGAGACGATTGACATAATGACTCGTCGGATACATTATAAGAAGCTCAGGAATTTAGGAATTAGAACTAGGTCGAGAAACTTTGCGCCTAAGGTAAGTCGTACTAACCATGGTTGTAACAAACTAGAGAATGATAAGCTAATCAATTTATCTAGTACAACTTTTGAGGATTGTGTAGTACTTTTATTGGAAAGAGGATTGAATTTTTCTCTTCCAAATTAGGTAAACCATTATCTGGACATACTCATTGAAGTAATTAGCTTATCTGATAGATTACCTGAAGAGGTAAGGAATAGTATTGAACTGGAGGTGATCCCCCCTTTTCGCCATATAATTCCGCTAAAGAAAGCTTACCCTCTTAGTGAAGTTTCTAGATATATGTGTGGTAATAATCTAATCGTTATGAAAGCCGACAAAGGTGGAGCAGTGGTAGTCATGGGTATGCCAAGTTACTGCAAACAGTTTAATATGAGAGAGAAGCGGTCTTGGCTTAATATTTATTAATATATAATATAAAAATATATTTCTTAAATATCGTATTGTAATCGTCATAGCACGAACCGTATTGAGGGTTGATAGACTAGAAAGGCCTCTACTGCATCCAATGAGCATATTTGTGGCTATTTTTTTGCTATTGCTTCTCGGAAAGATACATTTCTCCTAGGAAAATGTTCCTGCTTACTTCATACCTGGAATCGTAAGAGGTTGAGTGGACTTTACGGTTAAATGCGGCTAATAGTTGGAACCGACTAATCGTTTTCCTTCTTTTCAGAATGAGGTTGGAATTCCTGCTAGTAAAGCAGCTGAAATATGAGAAGTTGGGGAGAAAGTCATAGCCAAAATAGGATCTGCTAGACAAAGCTCTTTAGGCCTTAGCGGGAGTTTTGAGTTTGAGACAATTCTACATCTAAGCGATTACTGTTGTTTCCAGATTAATGAATGGGCACGAAACATTAGATCTTGAAAAGGGCCATGAAAAATTATTGCCTTCTTTAACATTTGTATGATAATGTTGGTGCTTGTTGTGAGCGGGTGCGAAGACTGGTGCTATTGACAGCATGCATGGTCTGATGCGACGACTTAGAATGCAGCGGCTTTACCATATGAAAAGGATGGATCCTTCTGGCTTTCTTGATTAAAAATAACTACCCAGCTGGTGTAGGTAATATGTTCAAGCAAAAAGCAAAGAAAGACGTTGTCAAATCAGGTCTAGAGGCAATGTAAATGAAGCATGACAGCTTAAGTGAACTTCCCAAAATTTGTTTGGTCTGTTCTTAAATCGTAATTAATGGCTATATTGCGTTATATCAATTATGCAAGACGCTGTTTGCATCTGTTAAAGAGAGATTTATTCATATGTCCTAGACTTCGTATCTCTTGAAGGTGAAATACGAAATCTCGAAAATAAATTAAAATTTACTGGTAGTCTCGAAAACCTACTCATTTATGAATAAAAATGAAATTATTGAGCTTACTTCCATTTCGAGTGAAAGTGTTGGGTGAAGAGATTCTAAGATCGGTTCCACCAGAAGACGACGGCGGATTCCTCTTGACCAGCTGTCAATTGGCTTTACTGGAACTCGTTAGCTTGAATTTTGTTATGACGATGATACCTCGTTCTGATGATGTCCATCATATGACGGACGAAAGCGTAGCACCTTTTCACCGGAATCGAAGGTGATTGCCTCGGAAACAGCGTCAGCATGAATCTTCCAGTAAAGCCAATCGACAGCTGGTCAAGAGGAATCCACCGTTGCCTCGGAAACAGCGTCAGCATGAATCTTCCAGTAAAGCCAATCGACAGCTGGTCAAGAGGAATCCGCAGTCCTCGGAAACAGCGTCAGCATGAATCTTCCAGTAAAGCCAATCGACAGCTGGTCAAGAGAAATTCGCCGTTGCTCGGAAACAGCGTCAGCATGAATCTTCCAGTAAAGCCAATCGACAGCTGGTCAAGAGGAATCCGCCGTCTTCTATGATGTTCGTCATATGACGGACGAAAGCTTAGCACCTTTTCACCGGAATCGAAGAAGATTACCTCGGAAATGCATGAATCTTCCAGTAAAGCCAATCGACAGCTGGTCAAGAGGAATCCGCCGTCGTCTTCTGGTGGAATCGAACTTCGAATCTCTTCACCCACATGAATCTTCCAGTAAAGCCAATCGACAGCTGGTCAAGAGGAATCCGCCGTCGTCTTCTGGTGGAACCGCCCAATCGACAGCTGGTCAAGAGGAATCCGCCGTCGTCTTCTGGTGGAACCGAACTTCGAATCTCTTCACCCAACACTTTCAGTCGAAATGGAAGTAAGCTCAACAATTATGAAACAAGAGATTCCTCGAAACCAAATTTTTCTTCGCATAAAAATGAAATGTTGCTGCTCTCGAAGAAGGAAGTCGTAGATAATTACTAGGAGCTACTAGGAAAGTGACATTGCAAAAGCATTAAATGAAATCATATCAAATCTATCCACTTGTAGTTAAAACGAACGCATCATTTTGCCTCAAAATTCAAAGCATTATGCATCTTTTTCAACTAAGGTGGGATGCGAGTTCCACCTTGCCTCAGTCTCTAGAACCACCCTCGGCGGAAGTACTCAGAAACTCCATCGTTAATATTCCTCTGAGAATACTGCTGAGATCTAAGACAGGTCAAAAATTAAGTTATACCTACATTAAATGGCTCTCATAGATTGTCTAGTT